CAAATGCTTGGAGCGTGTTCATGTAACTCAGCAATTTTTCCATATCCCATGTGCGCGTTTTCCCATAATTTCCTTCTAGGAAGACTCAGTTTTCCAGATACACAGATGGTTGTTAAGTGCAGTTCATTGTAACTTGAACACTTCATGAGTGGGAGACTACCTGTATTTTTTTTTGGCTAGCTGTTGTTTTTTTTTTCCCCCAGTATAACAGCTTTATTGAGATGTAATTCACAATCCATCTAATTTATCCATTTAAAGTGTATGATTTAATGATTTTTTAATGTATTTACAAAGTCGCGCAACCATCACAACAGTCCATTTTAGAACATTTTGACTACCCCCAAAAGAAACCTCAAACCAATTTTCCACCAGCTTCTCTAACCCTTCCACTACCACTGCCACCACCAGTTGCCATTGAATTGATTCAGACTCAGCAACCCCATTTGTGTCAGGGTAAAACTGTGCTTCCATCGCGTTTTCAGTGCCTGATTTTTCAGAAGTAGATTACCAGGCCTTTCTTTCTAGGTACCTGTGGGTGGACTTAGACCTCCAACTTTTCATTTAGCCGTTGAGTGTGTTAATTGTACCACCCAGGGACTCTTCCCCAACCCTAGGCAACCACTAATCTACTTTCTTTATAGAGTTACGTATTCTGGACATTTCATGTAAATGGAATCATATAGTATGTGGCCTTCTGTGACTGGCTTGCCTAGTTTCTGTTATGCAGCAGTAATGATTTGAGATTCGTCTATGTTGTTTGTATCAGTAATTCCTTTTTATTGCTGAGTAGTATCCCTTGGTATTAATATACCACACTTTGTTTATCCATTCACCTGTTGATGCACACGTGGGTTTCCAGTTTTCAACCATCCCACTCCTAGGTATTTACTCAAGGGAAACAAAAACATATGTCTACACACAGACTTGTACAAGAATGTTCCTAGCAGATTTATTTGTGTAGCCAAAAACTGGAAACAACTCAAATAAATTACAAATAAAGCTGTTAAGAACATGTGAACAGATGCATCATCTGTTGTGAATATTTTCCCCCAGTCTGTGGCTTGCCTTTTGATTTTTGTAACAATGTCTTTCAGAGAGCAAAGTTTTTGATTTTGTGGTTCAGCTTGCCAGTTTTTTTCTTTTGTGGTTTGTGCTTTTTGTGTTTCAAGACAATGTTGCAAAGATTTCTTGTTTTCCTCTAGAAGTTTTATAGCTTTAGATTTTACGTTGAGGTGTATGATCCATTTTGAGTTAATTTTTTGTGTATGGTGTGAAGTAAGGATCCATTTTCGTTATTTTTACCTATGCAGCTAGTCTGTTGACCTAGCACCATTTGTTGAGAAGACATTCTTTTTTCCATTGAATTGCTTTTGTACCTTTGTCAAAAATCACTTGTGTCAGTCTTTTTTTGGACTCTGTCCTGTACCGTTGATCTCTGTGTCAGTCTTTTCACCAGTACCAAATTGTCTTGATTACTGAAGCTTTATAGTGTTTTGAAATAGGGTGGGGTAAGTCCTTTAACTTTGTTCTTAAAAAGATACAGCCAACCTGATTAATCTATATTTTTTGCATTCTTGTGTAAATTTGAGAATCAGCTTGTCACTTTCTTACACACACGCACACACACGCACGCACGCACGCACACACACACACACCCCCCGAAAGAAGCTTGCTGAAATTTTTATTGAGATTGCTTTGAATCTATAGATTAAGCTGGGGAGAATTGACATCATCACAGTATTGAATGTTCCAATCCATGAACGTTATTTATCTTTCTATTTATTTAGATCTTTAATATTTTCAGCAGTGTTCAGTGTGAATATCTTGGACATATTTTGCTAGATTTTCTCAATTTTTTTTCAGTGCTATTGCAAATTAGGTTTTTTTCCCAATCATTTTCTAATTGTTTGTTGTTAATATGTAAGAATAAAATTGATTTTATATATTAACCTTGCATCCTAGAATGTTTTTAAATTCATTTATCTGTTTTTTAGTTTTGTAGATTCCTGGGATTTCCTGTGTAAACAAACATAAATCATCTGCATATAGAGGCACCTTTATTTCTTTTTTTCAGATCTTTTGTGCTTGTATTGCTTTTTCTCTTCTGAATGCAATGGCTAGAACCTTCAGTACAGCGCTAAATAGAATAAGTAAAAGTGGATGTGCTCGCCTTGTTCCTGATATGGGGAAGTGGGGTGGGGGGACAGTTTGGTATTTTGCCATCAAATATGTTAGCTGGAAGTTTTCCACTGGTCCAAACCCCCTGCCGTTGAGTCAAGTCAATTCTGCAACCTTGAGGAAGTTCCCTTCTGTTCCATTTTAGTGTTTTTATTGTAAATCTGCATCTGTTGAAATGAGCTAATTTCTCTCCTTCATTCTTTTAAGATGGTGAATTACATTGAATGAGTGTTAAAATAACTGCATTTTTGTGATAAACCTTGTCATGGTATGTTACCTTTCTATATGTTGTTGGATTTTATTTGCTAATATTTTATTAAGGAATTTTGCATATTTATTCCCACGGGATATTTATCTGTAGTTTTTTTTTTTTTTCATAGTATCTTTGTGAGATTTGGGAATTAGGATTGTGCTGGTTTCATAAAGTGAGTTGTGATTGATGATCTCAACTCCTATTTTCTGAAAAAGTTTATAAAATTGGTGTTACTATTTCCTTAATGCTTTATAGAATAAACAAGTGAAACCATCTGGGACTGGAGTTCTATATTCTGGGAAGGTTTTTGATAACAAATTAAACTTCTTGATAGCTATAGGATTATTCAGAAAGGGTTATTCAGATTTTCTATTTCTTGTTTCAATTTTGGCAAGTTATATTTTTCAAGAAATTTATTTCATCTAAGTTGTTGAATTTGTTGGCATAAAGTTGTTCATATCATCCTCATAATACTTTGCTGTGATAATAACCCCTTTTTCATTCCAGGTATTGGTGATTTGTGTTCTCTTTTTTCTTAATCAGTCTAGCTGGAAGTTTAATTTTGTTGGTCTTAAAAAAACAAAAACAACAACTTTTGGCTGGTTGTTCTGTTTTTATTTTTAAATTGATTTCTGCTCTTTATTATTCCTTCTACTTTGAGTTAACTTTACACTTTCTGTAGTTTCTTACAGTAGACTCTTAGGTCATTATTATTAGTTCTTATCTAACATATAAGCATTTAAAGCTGTAAGTTTCCATCTAAGCACTGCTTTAGCTGTATCTTACATATTTTGATATGTTGCATTTTAATTGCCATTCAGTTCACATTATTTTAAAATTTACTTTTTAATTTTTGCCTTTGATTCATGACTTCTTTAGAGGTCTTTTGTTTCTTTTCTAGGTATTTGGTTATTTTTCTACTTACCTTATTGTTATTGATTTAATTACCCTGTTGTCAGAGAATACACTGTATGATTTCGATACTTTTAAATTTATTGAGACTTATTACCCAGCATACGGTCTTTCTTAGTACCATGAAAGGAAATGAAAAGAATGTGTATTCTCAGTTATTGATGGAGTGTTCTATAAATATCCATTAGATCAAAGAGGTGGATAGTGTTCAGATTGTCTTTGTCTTTACTGGTTTTTTGTTTTGTTTGTTTGGGGGCCTGGTTGGTCTATCAGTTGCTGAGAAAGAGTGGTATTAATCTCCTATAATTGTGGGATCTTCAAATTCTTGTATATGATCCATTCTTCATCTCTTTTGAGTCTCTGTTATTAGGCTCATGCATATTCTGTAATTGTTATGTCTTCTTGGCTAATTGTCCTCTTTATCATTACAAAATAGCCCCTTTAGCTCTGGTAATACTCTGTCTTAAAGTCTATTTTATTTGTTATTAAGGTAGCCACTCCTGTCTTCTTGTGCTTATTGTTTACGTGGTGTATCTTTTTCCCACCTATTTACTTTCAACCTCTCTGTCTTTATATTTAAAGTATGTTTCTTGTAGACAGCCTGTAGTAGGGTCTAATTTTTTTCTTCATTCTGTCAATCTTCGCTTTTTAATTAGTATGTTTAAATTAGTAACATTTAATGTAGTTTTTGATATAGTTTGATTTGGGTCTATTATTGTTCGTTTTCTGTTTGTCTTTTCTATTTTTTTGTTCCTCAGTTCCCCCTTTACTGGGTTATTTTGAATATTTTTTAGTTGTTGCTCTAGGAATTACAATATACATACTGAACCCTTCACAGTGTATATAGAGTTAATATTATAACACCTCAAGTAAAATGTGGACCTTGTGGCCATATACTATATTTTTACATAAGTAACGTGTGTGCCTTTGCTTTCTACGTTTGTTTGCCAACCTTGTTCCCGCCCATCCCTCAGGTATTTTTATAAGCTCTCTATGCTATTTTTTTTTCTTTTCCTTTTTTAAACTTTACTGAGTCCTCAGGTGGTTGTGTGTGTGTGTGTGTGTGTGTGTGTGTGTGTGTGTGTGTGTGTGTGTGTGTGTGTAATTAGCAGAAATGATGTGCTTTAGTGGCTACACTGCCATAGTGGGCAGTGAGCCAATACTTTGCTTTACTTTTTATACCAGATGTTATCAGATACTAAGGGTTTTATTTGAATTTGTATTTCTGGTTTATTAAGAACTACTATGTAATAGGAAGAGTGTTAAATGAATAATTTCTTTTATATATAGTCTGTTCTTTAGCTTAGAACTGCTTAATATTATTATTTGCTGCTGTTAAAATTGTTCTTTGTGATAGTTTAAAATTTAGCATTCCCAAGTTGGCTATGCGAAACTAAGTTCCCAAGCACTGTAAGCTCTGATCTCAGATTGCTTTGCTTTTACTGATTTTCTCAAGTAATTTTTTGACCTGCTGTTTTTACCTTTACCAACCAGCTTTCTTCTAATCTAAAAACCATGTTTGATTCTCCATGTATAAACAACAGTAATGAGAAAATGTCTCCCCTTACCCCTCTTTTTGACAGGGTAACAGTAAAAGACTTAGCTACAAATCTATGTTTCATAACATTAGAAAATTATATTTTGAATCAATCCTTAGGTGTGTTGTTTGGACTGGTGATGAGCGTGTCTTCTTTTATAATCCCACCACTCGTCTTTCTATGTGGGACCGACCTGATGATCTGATTGGAAGGGCAGATGTCGACAAAATTATTCAGGAACCCCCTCATAAAAAAGGAATGGAAGAAGGGAAGAAACTAAGTAAGTTTTAAATTGGAAATTTATCCTGTTTTTAACTTTTTTTAAAATATTTTGATAGAAAATATGAGGGCTATTTAGAAAAACTTTATTTTACAAGGAATGTAAGAAATTTGTGAACTGGAAATACAGATTGTTGTGCTATTTTGAGTTCACTAGTAGAGATAAAAAAATTAGAGAATTTGGATAAAATTATATTTTATTGTTCATTAAAATTGTGCAGTTGAAAGACTTTATTCCTGAGAATATAGAGACACCTAAACTTTTTAAATAGATTATCTTTTAGTCTACCTCATGTTCAAACAATATTCCAATATGTGCAACCAGTACAAATATTTGTACATAATTTTTACTGTATATTTTTATTCATAATTTGCTGTTGTATTGATGTGCTTGTGTTTTTTAGAAACTCTTTCAATAAATGAATCATTTAAGCAACAAATCTTATTATATGTCATTTATAATCGAGGAATTTTTATGGATTTGTATATATGTAGTATTAACGTTTTCTGCTTACAAGTGGTTTCCAAATCAGTGAAACTTTGTCTTTTGGGTACTGAAGGTTCTAGGCACCAGTTTTTCCCCTTCACCAGTATCTGTTTTATAGGTATGATATTAATAATAGTTTATAACCATAGTATTGAATAATGCCAAGAACGTATATGATTTGATTTTGTTTTTTATGAATCTGCTTTCAAATATTTGGTCCCTTTGTTTGATATATACATCAGCATGCATTGTAAAAAGGCACTGTGAATAGTAAGATTTGGGTAAGAAACATTTCAAAGTGAAGTGGAAATTTAATGTAAATTTGAATAAATATAGGAGGTATAGAATTATGCTTTGTTTACTCTTTCATAATTGAGGGGATTTTAAGGGGTGGATATTTTATACAAACTGTATATGTGTGTGTGTGTGTATGTATGTGTGTGTATATATATATGTGTGTGTGTGTGTGTGTGTGTGTGTGTATATTTTAAGACCAGATTGTGAAATATAATCTTAACAGATATTCTTAACAATATTTGAAATATTTTTGCCAGGGCACCCAACCCCAACAATGCTGTCCATCCAAAAGTGGCAATTCTCTATGAGTGCAAGTGAGTGAACTAATTATTAATTGCAGCTTCTTTTTAATACTATTTAAGCAAGTGTTCTGGTAGTGGCTAATAGAAAGATTTATGCCTAAATATGATTGTTGCTTGCTTATTTTTATACTGATAAAATTTAATTTTATCCTGCAGTTAAAGAAGATCAAGAACTAATGGAAGAAATTAATGAAGATGAGCCTGTTAAAGCAAAAAAACGGAAGTAAGTAATACATATAGTTTGTGTAGTTCAGGTAGATTTTACCTTGTAGAAGTTGATTAGGATGCAGTCAGTTCATGATTAACAGGGACAGGTAATGTGTGTGCTAGGAGACAGAATCATGATATATCTCTTTTAGGCCTGATAAAATATTTAATGTATACTGCTTTTAGAATGTAGAAATGGTGTCCCTTCTGTTGCTAGATTTGCAAAAAAAAAATTTAGTTATTTAAATATGTGTTATGAAACCAAATGACATTTTAGGAATTAATTGATTATTTTCAGAAATTCATTAGGCCTGAATTTTATAAAAAATAAATTTTCTCCCTAATACAGGCCCCAGCAAACACCATTCCAGAGATCCTATAACCACAGATAAAGACTTCTGTCTATTTTATGTACTTATCTTGTCACTTACCTAGTACTTGAATCTGTGGTCATTACTATCTGGTGAGAAGGGATTCATGAGCTTGGAAAGTGCTCAGAGAGAAAGGGACTTCTGTAAGCAGAAGCATTAGCTTGGTCAGTGCTCTAGAGCTGGGTAAAATGTGAATGTGACTTTTGCTTTTATTATGGGGGAGTGGAAGGGTTGGAGAGGAGGGGGTTGGAGGGGGAATGGGACCATTATTTAGCAGCAAAAAGGAAAGTCTGAAGACTTCAAGGGCTGGTTGATCATAGTCCTTATCTGAAAAGGACAGATTGAATGCAGCCACATTATGGCAATGAAATCAGTAAAACAACCTCTACGAAGAGTGGTTCTTTTTTTTTTTTTAAATCTCTTAATTGGCAACAACATTAAAGAAAATGAGATATTAAAGAAAACCACTCATAATCTACCACCAGTACACAGCTACTCTCATTTTTGCAATTGACTTTTTAGTTCTAGACCAAATGTATTTTTATTAGTTGTAATAAAAGTGGGTTTTGTGTTCTTTTTTTAAAGTAATCCATCTAGAATAAGGCATCTGTTTTCTTAATTATTATAACTGACTGTATTCATTCTGTTTATGTACCATAATTTTGGATGTTCTATGATGTTAAACTTTTAGGTTGTTTTTAATTGTTTGTTCTTATAGACAACTTTGTAAGGTTTTTAACTGCTTTTATCAGGAGAATGTCAAAGAAGTCCTTTATGTGGATTGCCCGAGCTTCTCTATTTAGGTACAAAGCTAAAAGCCTATTTTTCCTGGCTCAGTTTTTCTTTATTTCTTTTATTGAGATAGATAGTGATAGTTTGTAATGTGATATTTTTATTCAGTATAATTCTACAAAGCTTATTTGTTTTCATTAGTTATTATATTTGTTTGATGTCTTTTAACTCTTTAAATAGTTCTTAAATTATTATAAGAGGGGATATTGTTTGGCAAATTGCTTTTACCTGTTTGTTTTGTGCATATCTTAGGTCACAGACTATCTCGCTAAGTTCCTGCAGGTCCACGGACTATGTCTTCTATTTCTTTTGATTCATTCCTTAAGTTACTAATTACCTCTCACTTATCATATTTGTGGGTTAACCTTAGTTACATTTAAATCTCCTGGGCTACCTTCACTCACCCATATAGCATGCTTTGAATTTCCTTATTCCCCTGTTTGTATAGGGAATATGAACCAATTTTATTATACTAGCAGATCATATTGGGGAAGGAAGATCTGTTTAAATACACCTGAGTATTATTGATTTACCTCTTTTTTTGGATTATTCACATGATTGGGCCTCCTTCATAGTGCAGATATTTGAGAGGTGACTTGATTTCATGTTTACAATTTCACTTAATTACCACACAGCAACAGGGTTACTCTCAGCCCTGACTTGCATTTTTGGAGGAACAAGAAATAGTTTAGTCATTGATGAACAGTTCTAATTTCTACCTAACTACTCCGGGCCCATATTGTTCTCTGGGACCTGTCCTTCAACTTAAATCTCAACCTATCACCCAGAAAGTGAGTAATTAAAATGTCAGGTAGGTAAGGTATATCTCACATATCCACGTGGCCAAGTTTGCAGGTATTTTATTTTCAAAATAAATATTCAGAATTACTAAGACTCATACCAGTTTTTATTAGATGTTTTTAAATATGCATTTATAATGTAAAATATTTTGCAAAATACTGGTTTTCCTGTCATTTCAAGAACTACAAAAATTATGTTCTGTGCTGTTTAATTCTAACATAAAGAGTTTTATTGCAATGTTAGATAAGCTTTTTTTTTTTTTTTTTTAAAGTAAGGTAGTTCACTTTGTGTATCAACTAGTGTCAAGGGGAGACAGCACATTAAAGATACTTCTCCCCCCACAATGTAGCCATTGTAACATTGTTAGAAGCTCAATGTAACTTTATTACTGTTAATATAATGAAAGTTGCTTATCCCTTAGAGTTGATTTGAAACCCTTAATATAATTTATTTTTGCCAAAAATATGCTGCTCAGTAGTGGGTCTTGAAAGTTCCATTGATTTTAAGATTTTAATAAGATTCTTTATTAATATTTTGTCAGTTGATGCCCTGTGTTTCATTTTTTTATAGGAGAGATGATAATAAAGACATTGATTCAGAGAAAGAAGCTGCCATGGAAGCTGAAATTAAAGCTGCCCGAGAAAGGGCCATTGTCCCTCTGGAGGCCCGAATGAAGCAGTTCAAGGACATGCTGCTAGAGAGAGGGGTCAGAAAACAATCTTTGGGGGAGATAATTTCTGTTTTGTATAAGTAATATAAATATGTCTTGCTAAAAGGTCAAATCTAAGGTTAGTGCTCATGTTTTGGGGGGGAGGACAAGGGAAGCCTATCAAATTATTGTATTTTTTTGAAACAGCCTTTTTCTTGGCTAATCGTATGTTTAACTAAATGCCATTTTACTATTCTTTTAAGTACAAATAACATTTAACATTTATTGAGTCATTAAATTTTGGTGAGTAATATAAGACGAGTTTTAACATTACAGAATGGCGGACTACTTGGGATAGGTAAAGTATATGAGATTCTTCCTCTAATATCCTCAGAATGGCTTCTGGTTAAAGGAGAACTGATATTTTATGATATTGTTATTAATGACACTTGACTGAGAAGGGATTTCTACCTTTTGGTTATATGCCCAGATTCACCTGAATAAGTAAAATTGTTCAATTTTAAATCACAACATTGTACACAAGATTGGCGCAAGCATGGGAAATCAAAACGCAGGTCTTCAAGGCTTTTTCTGATGTACTGATTTTTAAAATGTCACACAGTAGTGGTTATTTTAATGAGTAATTAAGGGTGTGTTATTTCTATACAATACAGAAATGTTCAGAGCCAATTAGTGTGGAAATTTGCCATTGCTAACCTCCCACTGCTTGTCATTTATTAGTGATGGAAACTTCAGTATCGTTTTTATTCTGTCTCCTTTATAAACAGATTTCCTGTAGATTTCAAGTAAAATTATATGACCTGTATGTTTTTAGAGCAAACTTAATTATGAGGCAATACATTTTTTATTTTAAAGGTGTCTGCTTTTTCAACATGGGAGAAGGAGTTGCACAAGATAGTTTTTGATCCTCGGTACTTACTTCTCAATCCTAAAGAGAGAAAACAGGTAAAAGGAAAATAACATTTTTTGAGAAATGTATATCCCTTGCCAGGATGATTTTTAAGTTATAAGGAATTAGTTACCTTTTTTTCATACCTAACACAGTTCTTCTAAAACACGGTCTCATAGCTTAGAACACAGTCATCCTCTTTGTGTGGACATTTCTGCCTCAGAAATGTTCGGATATTTTTCCCCTTATGGACATAGATACTGACTCATGAACATTTTGTCCTTATGCTTCATACACACTGAAGTTAGATCTAACATGATTTCAAAATTCATTTCAAATGGACTGATTAATTTATTGGGCAAATGATATGAATTTAAAGTAGAAAAATTGCAAAACACAGATGAGTGAAAAGGGGGAAAAGCTCACCTATAGTCCTATCCAGGAGATATGACCACCATTGAACATTTTGGTTTATAGCTTTCCTGAACATTGCATGCCAGTATATGTGTGGGGGGGTGTATTGTATACAGACACAATCGAAGACATGTCTATGTCTCACACACACCACACACACAAAATTCACATCTAAGTAGCATCTGTTAAAATGTCTGTGTTCGTCATAAACCTAGAGAAATGACAGACCTTTAGGGCCTTTGCTGATGGTATTAGCACAAACTAGAGTTGCCTTGTTATGGAGCTGCCATTTATTCCCATGATGATTCGCTGACACATATCATCTCATGATGATTGCTTCTTTCTCTAAAACATTGCACACTTCCAACCTATGTAATTTCTGAATTACCTGGACCATCCCAGCACTGATCTCTGTAAAATGGTGAGTATGTTGAACCCCTTGCTCTAGTGCTGTTGAGCTACAAGATTTCATTTGGTAGTAGCAGTGTCCATCTTCCATGTTTATAATTTAATAGTTGGAATAATTCTCTACATAATTTATGCCATTGTGCATGTAGGTCTAATCATGGATTTAAGTGAAGAGAGGAAATACATAGTGTTTCAGACATGTATTTTAGTACTTGTAATAGAAAGACATAGCTTTCCAAGTATCATATTTGTGTATGCATTTCAAGCATAGTAGTCTTTTTGAAAAAATATTTGTGTGTAATGATCTCATCCTCTTCTTAGTTGATGGCCTTATCAAAACCTATAATTAGCCTTGATTCTTTACTTTTCCCCACTATGCATAGCAGTCTTCCAGTAAACCTACCTCCAAAAATTTTTCTAAATCCAACTCTTTATTTACCATTTCCTCCACTAACACCCTAATCCAAGCCTCCATGATTACTTCTCATGATCTGTGTAGCCCTTAATTGATCACCTTTCTTCCATTCTTGCACCTCATTTTTGCACTGTTGCTAGACTAATTTTAAAGCTTAAGTGAAATCAGATTAAGTCAGCGTTCCCTTGCTTAAAACTGTCTAGTTCTTCCCATTACATTTAGGATAAAATTGAAACTTTATCATAGCATATAATGTTTTACATATACTCATCCCTGCATACCCCTAGAATCTCTTAATGTTCATTCAGTCTAGCCACACTGGCCTTGGTTATTTTTTGAACAAGTTCTGGTACTTGCTATTTCCTGTGCCTGGAATGTTTTTCCCCTCAGTGTTTTCGTAGCTGGCTGCATCATTTCATTCAGGTGCTTGTCAAAGTACCTTCTCTGATCCACCTATCTAAAATAGTCATCCTGTCATCAATATTATCCTTTTGCCTTTTTTATTTTCTTCATAGCATCTCATAGCTCTAATTATTTAAAATTATCTCATTTATTATCTGCCCCTCCTACCAAAGAGTATAAATTCTGTGAGGGCAGAGACTTTGTTTTGTTAATTTCTCTATGCATAGTACCTGAAATAATGCCTAACCTAAGTAACACTGAAGACCTTTAAAACTTTTATGACTTATTCTTCTTCGTGCCACTGTTTTAGTTTCTTAATGAATGAAATTGTAAGTAACATATCGAGAACTAAAGTTCTTTCCCAATTTTGGAGGCATTCTGTAAGCTGGCAGTGATGTCTCCTTAACAGCATTTCATTTAAAAAGAGAAAAGTATCAAGTACTGTTCTGTTTGTAATAAAAGCTCTACTTAAAGATTCTTTTTGCCTTTCAAGTAGAACTGAGAGGAGGGAGAAATTAATATTTGGCATTAATTTTTTTAATGCTTTTAACAATTTGAGTACTTTTATTATTCATGTAGGTGTATAAAGTCAAGGAGAAACCAGCTAAGTGCTAGGCTGTCAAACATTTGTAATTTTATGTCTGAAATTTTTGCATTGATTTTAAAAACACTAACAACTTCATTGAAAATGCCTCATAATTTAAAACTACTTATCTTTTGGTTCTGCCCTTTTCTAGTTATCTGTAGATTTGTGTATGTTTTGCATCATTATAAAAGATACATTTTTATATTATTGTAACCATTAACTTTAACTTGTAACTTTATCTAATCTGTTTTGATAAAAAGTCACTTAAGGGGTCAGACATTTTTTTTTTTTTTTTTTTTTTTGACAAAAATTTTAAAATGATGATTAACATTTTTCAGAAATGCAGACAATTTTCATGAAGGATGTTACTCTAGAGAGTAGTTATGCTAACACTTTAAATTGTTACCTTATTTCAAATAAAAATTTTAACATAATGTATGTTGTTCAGAGCTTTTAAGATCGACAGTGTTATAGTGTGGTAGTGCATTACCAAAAATAATTACTCAAGATTGCCAGTAGTTCATCTAGGCCACATTGTTTATCTAATCAATATCAAATTATAAATTGAATTAAATTTTATGAGAATCAAATAATGGATGCTCATACTTTCAGTAAACTTACATTTTGAATAAAAATATACATATAGGAAAGTCTAAAAATTGTAAGTGTACAACTCAGTGAAGTTTCACAAAGTGAACATACCATGTAATTACCTAGATCAAGAATGGACCATTCCTGGCTCCACAGAAGCCCTCCCTGAAGACGTAGGCAGAATAGCCCTTTTTTGCTTTTGTCTATAAAATGAAACTTGACTAGGCCTTGTTTTTAACTGATTTATGTTCATGATATTTATTATAAAATTTTATTCATTAGTTGAAGGTAGCAAAAATAACTATAAAATAGGGGCCATAAAGCCAAGTGTATTGGGAATATGATACAATTAGGAGAACTCCTAATTTTCTATGAGATGTTCATCTCAGAGTGATGCCTAACTTTGGTTTGGAATATTCCAGAGGAGAGGATATGAAGTTCTCTATAGCTTCTCAAAAGAAAATTAACATAAATTCACTTAGATTTTATATATCATTTCATACCCTCAAAAATAAGAAGTATAGGCTGAGAAAGGAGAGAGGTTGGAAATGACTTTCTTCCCTCCTCCCTTAAGCATGCAAATGCTGTCAAGTCATAGGTTGCAATGTTAGGATGTTGAAAATGACCTACATGTCTAGCAGATAGATAGTGAAAGCTATTTCTGCACAGTTCTTAAAGATTGAGGTGGATATATATGGATTGACTTAGAAAGATATCTAAGATATGTTAAACTTTTTTTCCAGTTTAATTTTTTTCAAATATGCTCATACACATATTTAAAGCACCAAATAGTTCTGTAAGCTATGTTAAGAAGAATATGTTAGAGTGCCACCACAACACCTCCTCAAGAAATTTCTCCAGTGGCCTTCTGACTTAGTTCAGTCCGGACTGGTTGCCACTTACACCCGTTGAACAGTTGTTATCCTTGAAGTCTTTTTCCTTCAGGATTTTGAAGGCACTGTTTTTCTTCTAGTTGCCAGTGTTTTTGAAGCCATTCCATTGCCTATTCATTTGTATGTGGACCTGTTTGTTTATTTTCCCTTCTCTTTAAGCAAATAGAATTTTCCCTTTGTCCTTAGTGTTCTGAAATTTCATTATCATATATGTCCTGGTGGAAAGGTCCATTGCATTGGGCACTTGGTGGCCCTTTCAATCTGGAAACAATATTTTTCAGTTCCGGGAGATTCTCTTGCATTACTTTTTGATTTGCTTCAAACTAGTTTCTGTGTTTTTTCATTCTGGGACTGAATTTGCCCTCCTGGTTTGGTCCTCAAAGTTTCCTGTCTTTTCTCTTCTGTTCTCTGCCTCTGTCTTTCTAACTTTCTGGGTGAAATTCTCACATTTTCTCACATTTATCAATTAGATTTTTTTATTTCTATCTTGTAAAAATTTTAAGGATTCCTTTTTGTTCTCTGAATATTTTTCTTGTTTCATGGTTGCACTATCTTAATGTTATGGGGTTGTTTATTTATTTATTTATTTTTTAATGTTCATTTTCCTGCATAGTCTCTGTCTCCACTAAGTTTTTTCTGCTTGGGCCCTATTTTTCATGTTGGAGGGTTTCCTGATTAGGAATGAGGAATGAGGCACTAAAATGCTATTTGGGCCTTCTGAGTCTTTGGGTGGGCCCTCATTACTGTAGGGCAGTAATTCTTAACTAGGGGTAGTTTAGCCCCCAGAGGACATTTTTGGTTGTTAACAGCTGAGGGAGTGCTGCTGGCATCTAGTGGATAGAGGCCAGGGATTCTGTTAAAGGGCCAATAGTGCATACGTTACCCCCGTCCCTCAGCATAGAATTATCTGGCCTAAAATGTTAGTAGTGCTGCTGTTGAGAAACCCTGCTGTAGAGTGATTTAAGCTGGGTTGTTTTGTTGAGAATGCCCTGGAACCAGTATTTTTGAGGCTGGTATCCTGATAAGGACCATTCATTGGCTGCCCAGCCAGAGGGCACATGGCTTGCTGCTTTGGTTCTGAAAGTACTGTTTTAATATTTGGCATATAAATGTTTGCTTAATCCCTGTGTTCTCAGACTAATAGCCACATTCCCAATTCGTGTTCCTGAAATCTGGAGACACTTTGTTTTGTCTTCTAGAGCAGGGGTTGGCAAGTTTTTTAGGCTTTGTGGGCCAGTGGTTTCTGTTGCAACTGCGCAACTCTGCCATTATAGTGTAAAAGCATCCGTGTTGTTGTGTGCCATCAAGTCAGTGGCGACCCTACATGGCAGAGTAGAACTGCCCTGTAGGATTTTATAGGCTGTAATCTTTACACAGATCACCAGGTCTTTCTCCTGTGGAGTTGCTGGGTGGGTTCAAACTGCCAACCTTTTGGTTAGCAGCCAAGTGTTTAACCACTGCGCTACCAGGGCTTCTTGAAAGCAGCCATAGACCATAAATAAAGGAATGAGTGTGGCTGTGTTCTAATAAAACTTTATGTATAGACACTGAAATTTGAATTTTATTTGATTTTCAGGTGTCCTGAAAAATTCTATTGATTTTTTTTTTTTTTAACCATTTAAAAATGTAAAAATCATTCTTGGGTGTACATAAACAGGTGGCAGGCTGTGGTTTGCCAACCCTTCCTCTAAAGAATAACCACTTGCCTTTTACTGGAGTTGAGGAGTGGCAGTGCCTCAGATATGTGAAGTTGGGGAGGGCTCCTAGGTATTTAACTGCTTCTTAAACACAATTCTTAAATACAATACTGCCTGTTGTAGCTGTATCCCACTCCCACTTCCATAGGTACCTGGTGCTTTCATTTCCTGAGCTATATGAAGATTCTCTAGTAAAAAAAATTTGGTTACTTCTTTGTTTTCTTGACTGCTGTTTAGGTTCAGCTTTTCCATGTCTGCCAAATTCATTACCATTTGCCCATCTACTTTTCAAATTCCAGAGGTACTGTTTCTCTTTTCCCCTTTTCCCTGTCCTTGTTGGTTTGTAATTTTAGAAAGAAATTCTTCAATTGTCACTTTATTTGGGTTTGAAGAAAGTGGAAAATAGATGTATGTGCTTGTTCAGTTTATCTTTATTATTAAGTGGGGACAAATAGGTGGAAAGAATGGTTATGTTGTGGTGAAAATAATTATGTCTTAAGACAAGCTTGGAAAGAAAAAATAAAACTATAGATTCCATACTGTTAACTGATTTTTTTTTTTTTTTAAGGGAAAGGATTATGGAGGACTGTGATTTCTCTTATACATTTCTGAATTGCTTACATTTTTGCAATAAACGTATTCGGTTTTGTAGCAGGGGAAAAAAATTAAAGAGACTTTTAGCTTTTGTTGTTGTTCTGAAAGTCTGAGCAGAGGGGCATAGGCTTGTATAATTCTGTTAGCCAAAGTGTTAAAATGAGACCTGCTGTAGGCAGTCTGCATGTAATTGAGTTACCTATAATTAATATATTTTTCCTGTAAGAATTTGGTCAAAGAAATTGATACAGTATTTTTTATAAATTGGGTTATTTGGTAGTTAAAATACCTATATGAATGACTGACTTGTCAAATTGGTTTATTTTTTCTGATAGGTGTTTGATCAGTATGTAAAGACCAGGGCAGAGGAAGAACGGAGAGAAAAGAAAAACAAAATAATGCAAGCCAAGGAAGATTTCAAAAAAATGATGGAAGAAGCAAAGTTTAATCCAAGGTATGTGGTTCATTACTGTCAAATATTAACATGTATATATTTCTCCTAACATTAGAATAAAAAAGACATACATGTATAACTATCTTTTTGGTATTTGGACATAAAAAGCTCCTTATTTAATTATTTATCTTTCTATCCTTCATTCTTAATATGTTTCCTTTAGAGGAATCCCAAGTGCTTTATATGAGAGGCATTTGTTTTCAAGAAGAGCACCTTTGCTATAAACGCTTCCCTAAGCTTTCCTTCTCTAGAAACTGGCACGTGGTAGAAAACCTGTTATGTCTTCTTCAAGTTTTATACATAATACTTTGCAGAGTCGGAACATTATTTTGATTAAATTGAAGTGGTGAAGGAAGGATCTTTCATTTCAGAATTTTCTGAGTGTTCAAATTAGGATTTTGTCTGACATTTTCAATCAGTTATTGGTAGGTATTGAATACATGTCTGGGCTGAAGACATTGAGACTTGTGTGCCTAGTTTTATAATAACAAGAATAACAGTAGCAATAATTATTGGATATTTTATGTACTTATATGCACTTTATTATCTCATTCAATCCTCAGAACAGCCATGTGATCATAGGTATTCATGTCATACCTATTGTATGATAAGGAAAGTAGGAGATAAACAAATTAAGAAACTTGTCCAAGTGAAGTAGGAATTTCAGCTTGATGCCAGCATTGCACAGAATAGTCCAAATGGAGAATTGCTTTCCTACAGTTTAGTTGTGGCAGTAATGGTATTAGATTGATGTGAACACCTCCATACATGGAGAAATTTCTAAGACTATAGGATGTAATCTTGGGGTCTCTGGGTAAAGTGGCAGTTTTTTAAAAAGCTCATCTTATTTAAACATTTATTTTGTCAGTGGAGGTAGGAAAGAGTGATGTTGTTTGAGAAAGCATATTTGATATTATAATTTTATATTTGAAATGTGAGGCCTACTGTGGTATTAACACAAGTTTCAGAAAATAAAGCTAATATAATATTTTTGGCCATGAAGAAAGTAGTATTTTTCAGAGGGTAGTGAAGAGTCTCGTGAGCATCCTGGGCTTTTTCATAATCAGAAGAATGAGTTACTGCATCATGTTGAGACTGGACTGGGTTATGAAAGGTTTTTTTGGGGGGGACAGTTGAGGAAATTTGAGTATAGATTGAATATTAGATGATGTTAGAGGATTACTAATTTTCTTGGGTATTGTAGTAATGGATGAGAAAGACATTACTCTCAGGAGATGCATGTTGAAATATTTATAGGTGAGATCTCATGATGTCTGCAACTTATTTTCAGAAAAGGTCAGCAAAATATATCTTTGTTAAAGCCCTTTATGGTCTGGGAATAATTGAGACGCCACAGAAATTTAGATTTCCTTTTTGTAGATCTAACTAATGAAGTCTTCTGTATCACAGTATGGTACTGATGTTCTTTTGGAACAGATAGAATTGGGGTAATCTGTACTACACCAGTTTCTTCAGAAAATAAAGCCACTGTGTACTTACCTGGGAGTCTTAGCACTTAGAACATTGTGCTGTATTGATGTGTACTGTATTGATACGTTTAACTCCAGCGTACAGATAAGGAATGATTTTACTAGGTAACGGAAAACCTCAAAACTAGGCTGTTTGTGAGGTTTTTTTGTAATTAATATTTTCTTGCCACTTTGTGTATTTTTTTACATGCTAACATTCTCTGGTTGAAAAGCTAAAGCTGTTATCAAGTCTTAGCTGGTATCAAGTGTTTTTAAGAAAACAAGGAGGAAGAATTTAAGATTGAGAAAATACCATTCATTGATCTAATTTTCTTTTTGAATTGGGAGAAGACCACTGTCACAAAACTCTTTAGTAGAGCACTGGAGTTTGTTCTGGGAAAGAGTGACTAGGAAGAATGTAGTTAAGTTTAGTGCTTTTCTCTTCTATATCTTTTTTCTTTTAATGGAAATTTCAGGCATACCTCCCTTGGTCAACTCATAGTCAATACTGTCTTCCCACCCACTGCCACCAATCCTGGGTGACACAGATGGTTAAGTGCTCAACTACTAACTGAAAGATTGGTGGTTTGAACCCACCCAGGGATGCCCCGGAAGACAGGCCTAGAGATCTGCTCCTGAAAGGTCACATACTTGAAAACCCTATGGAGCAGTTCTACTCTACACATAGCATTCATGAGTCGGAATGGATTCGAGTGCAGCTAACCACCACCACCACCGACTCTACTCCCCACCTGCCAGAAGGATTCTTCTACCTTGTCAGTTCAAAAATCGCACTTTTCAGCGTTAAGAAGATGAATCATATAAAAACAGCTTCATGGGACCTTAATGCTAAAACTTGATTTTGGTCTTTTCTACTTTAAAAATAGAAAACATTTTACCTGTTTTATTATAAATAATATAAATAATTAATTCTCAATTTGACACACTGATTTTATATTTTTTAAAAGGCTTATGTTTAAATTGTAGTAATAGTTACCTTTACTCTCTTAAAATTATAAAGCAGGGTGCTAAATTTATCATGAAAAGAAAACCAATTTAATGGACTAAATGTGATGATCACTTTACTGGGATATACATTTTTATTTTTACCTTAAAATGTTATGGTTACTGATCCATTGTTCAAACCAGGTTTGTAACAATTGTTTAAAATATTGAATTAATGAAATATAATTTTGTCAGTAATACCATTCACACACAAAAGATGATTAGAATCTGGCTTTGGCTAGCAGAGTTTAAACAACAGACTGTTGGCTACTGAGTTGTGCTCTGATGTTTAGTTTGATGTTTTTAATTCTGAATTCTGAAGTTAACCGGTCAGCTTTTCTTTATAATAAAAGCTTTAATATATTCTTTGTTTTAGCACATAAGAGAATGTGTTTTATTTTTGCATTGAAATAGTTATGTGTAAACTTTATATTTTTCTCCGTTAAGAATGTGCTAAACGTGAATGTTTATTATAAGAGTAAATTCTTACTACCTAAGGTGGAAGCTTCAAATATTGAGATAAATACCAAAGATATATAAAAGCTTTATAACGCCTTTTCATTATGGAGAAACTTCTCTTTTATACCTAGCCTCATTAGCCCCTAGAGGCCTCATCTTTATTTTTAGCGTGCTTGGTGTTTGCTGAGCCTTTTGGATTGACAAGTCAGTGTTTTTGATCACATTTGGGAAGTTTTCAGCCAGTATTTTACTGCCCTCATTCACATGTTTAATAATATCTCATAGATCCCTTAGACTGTCCCTCCCCCACCCCACCCCCAGTCTTTTTTTAGTCTCCTCTTTTGATCAAATAGTTTTTGTTGATATATTCAAGTCATTGACTATTCTGGTATCTTTACTCAGCTGTTAACCTTAGTAAATTTTTTCTTCCAGTTTTAGGTTCTTTTTTATATTTTCCATCTCTCTGTCGAAACTCCCTGTCTGTTCACTCATTAAGACTATACGTTCAATTCTTTGAGCGTATTTTCTCTTAATTCTTTCAGTGTAATTACAATAGTTGCTTTTAAAGTATTTATCTACTTAACATCTGGGCATCTTGGGTTCAATTTCTAGGACTTTTTTTTTATACTATAGATCACATTTGTTTCTTGTGTGTTTTAGTGATTTTTTTTTTTTTTTTTTTAATGAATACTGTAGATAATATGTAGAGACCCTGAATTCTGTTATCTTCCTCCTGAAGAGTGTTGGTTCTTGTTCTTGGAGCAATTCAGTTACTGGCTGAGCACTTTAATTTCAGGCTTGATTTTAGGCTTTGTTAGGGTGGATTTGCAGAAAGTGCCAGGTGTTTCCTAGGCTTCTCTAACTTTGAGGACTCAGCTTCCAAACTTTGTCTCCCTTGTGGATCTTTTTGGGGTTTTGTTGTCCTGATTCGGTTCTTCCTCAAGTACTACTCAATCTCTGGTACTTCCTTTTTGTTCCTAACCCTGTAGCAGCTTGTGTCTGGTAAGCCTTGAATGGTCTTTCCCTGTTCTTGTACAGCCTGGCCCTTGGCCATGGACTTAGGAATCCCTGTGCAGACTTCTGAGGTCCCCTCTCTGTATAGCTTCTTCCTCTGCCATTTTAGCACCCTTACTCTGAACATTGCTGCTTACAGCTCAGTGGAACTACTGAGCTCTGCTTAGATTCTAGTTCTCTGGATCACAGTTGGGGGATTGTCTCCAGGAAACAGATGATGGGACCTACTTCATGAGTTTGCCTTCTTTCAGAGATCCAAGTTTTGCTCTGCCTGAAATCATTTGCTCGCATATTTTGTCCACTTTAAAATTGCATATGGAAGGAGGACTAATTCAGTAAGAGTTATTCCATCATAGCTAGAAAGAGGAGACAGCCTCATCTTAAAATGGGTAGAACTAGATGGGCTCTTAAGTCTCTTTAAGCACATAAATTCTTTACTCTCCTGTCTTGCCTTTTTATAAGAAGTGTATATCCTTTGCATGAGATTAAGGTATTCTTCTCCACCACATACTGATGACATGCAAATCTCTAACCACATTTTCACTCTGTGTAGCCCTTTATCTCTTTCTGTAGCTTATTAGTCACTGTTTAGGTAGGTGTTGGAACCCAGTGTCTCTTTGAACATATTCTTGCTGAAAAAATGATGTTTTCTACAATACCTTTCTACAAGCAGAAACAGCTCAATGAAAGTTAGCACACTTGCCATTTTGTTACAGAGCTACTTTTAGCGAATTTGCAGCCAAGCATGCTAAAGATTCAAGATTCAAAGCAATTGAAAAGATGAAAGATCGAGAAGCCTTATTTAATGAATTTGTGGCAGCTGCAAGGAAGAAAGAGAAAGAAGATTCGAAGACCAGAGGTGAGAAGGTAAGTGATTTTAGTTCCAGTGGTGTGATTGATGGGTATGTGAATGGGAAGGGACTAAGCTGGTGCTGCCTTTTGAACCTCATTTATGAATGTAAGTACAGGAATCACACTTACTGTTTTGGCCTTTTAAGTTAACTTTTATAATTGTTTAGATGTATATAGTCTATCACTTTACTTCCATAGTGCTCATATTACTAGCTTCACTTACTGTATCAGCCTGCTTTAAATTTTATTAATACTCATTTTTTAAAGATGTCCAGTAAACCCTGGGTTGTTAGACCTACTGGCTCAGTGGTAGCAATAAGACTTAAGATTCTTTATAGGTGGTACCATTTAAATTTCAAAGAGCTTCTTTATCTTTTTTTTTCCTCTAAAAGATAGCATTTTACTGACTTTCTAATCTGTCAGTAAACATGTCTTACATATAAATTATTGCTTATCAGAATTAAAGGTCAGCTATTAAAGATTAATGAATTCCAAATGTCATTTGATAGCAGCGTCAGGAGTAGAGAGGAGCTCAGCACTGGGGAGGCAGGCTGTTAGGGAGAAGGCACCAGTGGTGCATGAACCATCAAAACATGCAGCCACTCTCTTTAGTTCCGCTGTGTGCTTGGTGAATGGACAAAAATAACCTCTGGAGCCTAATGATTCTTGACATTTAAAATTGTCTCTTATTCCAGAAAGTTAACATACTGCAAATTCTATTAAGTAGTGGAGAGAATAATACACTCTTGTTGGAAAGAAGCCTCTTTCATTTCAAACAGTAAATGTATTAGGTGAATTAACTTCTCTTGAAAATACATGAGTTTTTATCTGCTTTATTGGGCTTCAAAGTAAATTTTTCCAGAATTATTTCATTTGAATATTTATTATTGGTAAATGATTATGCTTCGCAGAGGAAATGTGCAAAATTGAGTTCTACATAATCATTTTATACATTGAAGTAGAGTCATTAATGGAGTTGTTACTTTTGACTTTTAGTGATGAACTATTTGATTAATGAAAACCAGAAAATAAACGATTGCTTAATATTGTATGATTGCTTTTAGACAAATTGGATGTATTTCTGTCTGCATTTGAAACTGATGTTCTTTTTTCTAAAAACTTTTTTTTTTAAACCATTTTATGTATTCGGTTTTATAACAAGTGGATAGACTTTATAGTTTTCTGCTGTGTGGTCTGTCAATCAGTTCATTCTGACAGCTGTCAATTACTGACATGCAAAGTATTATGGGATTCCCTAGTCAGGAAACAGTTGGTATCTTTCTGGGTGGTGATTTTAGCCTCCTGCAGTTCCGGTAATTTACATTTTTTAAAATTTATTCCTTGTGCAGTGAAGAGAGTTGTACTCGGAATGTTTTAACTTAAAAAAAAGAAATAGACATTACATCAAAATAAACCTAATATAGTCAGCCTTATTTTATTTTGATTTTAAAATAGTTAGTTTTCTCTAGGTTTAACTTTGTACCATTACTAGATTTTAAAAAAAGGCATAAAATTGCTAAAGTGAAGCTTTCTCAGCCAATTTAAAGAACGTAAAATCAATTACTAGCTAGGCTATCAAAGCAGAAATCTTTAAAGTAAGGGTTTAACTATAGTAAACTTTATATTCATATTCTGTTAAGTACTTGGTTAATGAAGTTTTACCACTTTCCTTCATGACTTTTACTATGTATTTGTTCTTCTGAACTGTTACCTGTGCTGTTTTTTAAAATCAGATTTTAACTATGTAATTGGCTAGTAAGATCAGTAACCTGGTATTTTGGAGTTTTTTTCTTTGATCTTTTGATTCTCCAGCTGGTCTTTGTAGCATTGAGGTAGTTGAATCAAGAGCTGAATAGTAAAGGTTTAAAAATAATTACTAAGTCAACCAATGAAGGACATTGATTTCTGGTGAAATCCCTTTTTTCCCTTAAGTAGCCATTTTCAAGCTAAAAAAGGTATTATGATCATCATTTTCATTGATAGTTTTTTTGTTTTATAAAAATGCCTTTAAAAGTCTACTTTAAAAGACCTGTGTTTATTTGCCAAAGCAGCTACCCTGAAATTTTTATTTATAAAATATGATAAACAATACTAAGTTGGAGTTCAAATAATTTACCTTTTGGAACAATATTTGAAGTTGCACATAATGGAGTTAATCCTCTGTTATTAAGTTGGAAGTGTTCTCTTTAACTTGTTTAGCAGGAAATTTAAGTATTTTTGTTATAGTAGGTTAGGCTGAGGAAACTTTTAAACTCCCTATTAAACAAAACAGCCTAGGTAGTTACATACTTTCATTTTTGGAGGGAAGAGAATAGGGAGTATAAAGCCTTGAATTGCAGCTAATGGTAAATGACATTTGACATTTATGCAGTTGTCAAATAATAATTCTCATATAAATAGCAGCCCCAGTAAACCATATATAGCCTTTCATGGTAGTATCTGCAATGAAAGGAAGTTGGAGTTTAATTTTGTATAAAGCTTACTTTGTTTATATATCACACCTATTTAAAACTATATGATAATCTGTACTTTATAAGCTTCATGTCTAATATTTGAAAACTTTTAAATTTATTTAAATTCCTGTGGCTTAGAAAGATTCCTGTTTGATACAGCTTGCATGTTTTATTTAACATAAATTTTATATTTGGTGTTCTTGCTCTCCAGTACATCTAGGTTTTTGGGTATTCATGTCAGATACAAAGTAGATAAGATGAACAGAAAAATTATGCTGTACCACTAAATCAGGTAGTTTCTTAATTGCTGGCTAGAAACCCTGGGCTTATGAATGTTTCTCATTAATCCAAAGTCAAGAGCCAAAGTTCAGTAGTGATCCACAGTTGATCAGCTCTTTTTTTGTTTTTTTTAATTCTCTGATGAAGGAACTCTGTTTCTTACAACATTACAAATGTTGTCCAGAAAGGACATCAACCTCCTTTTTAATCCTGATAGGAGAAACGCATTTGTAGGGGAAAGTGATAGGGCTGGAATGGGCAGAAGGAAGGATTCATTTATTTTTTAATTCTGATGCCATTCTTAATTTCTCATTCTCTGTATCAAGTGGGAAAGCAACATATTTAATCCCTGTGGGGAGAGGTTCTTAACAGGATAAAAATCCTTTGTTGAGTGACTTTGGCTACGTTGAGTGTCTTCTATGATAGGAGTGCAATGTAATGTGAATGAAATTAAATTTAGAAGAATTAAGTCTCCTTGGAGGTACTTAAAAATAAATGCCTCATTTTTATCCCTTTCCTCTTCTATTTAAAAAAAATAAAAAATGCAGTTTGGGAGAGAGGTTCTAAATAGTTGTATATTTTGACACTAAAGGATTAATATGATTTAATACCTCTGGTATAATGTTACTAACTTGCTACTTCAGTTAAGTATGTTATTTCATAAGTACAAGTACTTATATTCCAAGTTCTATACCAGTAATACATTTCTAATGGATAAAAAGTACAGAAAATTTTAAAGCAGTTTTTTTGTTTTTTTTTTTAGTAATGATATATTTTCTTAGATATAAAACTATAAATATTGTGGTTTATTTTATTAAAATACAACATTTTACCCTATTTCTGGAGATTTTATAGTTTGAGGTTTGCAATGAATGACCCTTGGCTATTTTTGCTCAACTAGTTGTAAACCCCTGGTTAATTTTAACAAAATTTTTATCCATCAGTTTTAAAATAAATCATTATTACCATCTTAATGTTAAGATATTTCCTGTCAGTTTATACACTGAATCTTAGCTAAAAATAAATACCGTTCAATGCAGATTTTAATTCCCTATGAAAACATGATGGTTCTGAGATGAGAAGCAGCATACTAAAAAAGTTTTTTTTTAGTATATATATTTGAATCATTTCTTTAAAGAATATAATTTATCTTCAATTTGGCAAATTTTAAATGAGAGCCTGTATTCTCAGCTGATTTTTATATTTTTAACAAAAGAGCAATTCTCTTTTAATAAAACTGATTCCATTCTGAATAAGTGCATTGAAAAGTTACTCTTCTCATCTTTAAGGTAAGTGAATTTTTTTTTCCCTAGTTGTAAACATTTAGATTTAAAGAATTTCTTATGGCACGTTATTTCCCTCCCATCCCACCTGTTTTAAAATATAGATTAAATCAGACTTCTTTGAACTGTTATCTAATCATCACTTGGACAGTCAGTCTCGATGGAGCAAAGTAAAAGACAAAGTAGAAAGTGATCCACGTTACAAAGCAGTGGATAGTTCATCAATGAGAGAAGACCTTTTCAAACAGTACATTGAAAAAATAGCCAAGGTAACCATTTGTGTTTATTTACTGTCAGTATTACATTGAAATAATAAAATCATTAATTGCATTGGAGCTCTAGTGGCACAGTGGTTAAGTGTTCGGCACCTGCTCCTTGGAAACCCTTTGGGACAGTTCTACTCTGTCTTATAGGGTCACTATGAGTTGGAATAGACTTGATGGCACCGGGTTTGGATTTTTTGGTTTAATTGCATTATAAAGGTATTTGTTTGTGTTTGAAGTTTTTTGTTGTTGTTGGTATTTGTATGTTATCCCTAGTAGTTGATTTGGAGATGAGGTACAGTGTTTGGGTACATTCTTGGTAAATAACCAGGTTTGAAATTTTTTACTTAGCAAGCTAGTTATTCTGTAAAAACATATTTTGATGGTGTTGGTAAGAAGGATAATGTAATTTTACTTTTACAGAATTTAGACTCAGAGAAAGAAAAAGAGCTTGAAAGACAAGCCCGCATTGAGGCCAGCCTTCGAGAACGAGAAAGGGAGGTCCAAAAAGCTCGTTCAGAACAAACAAAAGAAATAGATCGAGAGAGAGAGCAACACAAAAGAGAAGAAGCTATTCAGAATTTCAAGGCTCTTCTGTCTGACATGGTGAATATTAATCGTTTATTTTTCCCTCTAAACTACTGAATGTTAGTAATACGTTGTATTACCCCATTGTGAACATTTTAATGTTCTCTATGTTGACTCTAAGAGATATAATCTGTAAGTTATTTATAAGGCATTGTAAAATTGAGTACTTGGAATTAGCACTGTTAGAATAGGAAAACCCTGGTATTTAGCATGTTCAGAAGTTATATGTTTTGCATATATGAAAAATAAAATCTTTTAGTCTTAAAACTTTATTTTTTATTGTTCTTCATGGAAGTCATCTTAAACTATTACACACTTACCTGCCACAGTAATAAACAAAGTGTGCTGAACATAATTTAACCTTTTTCTTGATGATTTAGGGTCATCATTGTGATGATCAGTTATTGTACATGTAGATGGTATGAGATGTAGGACTGGAGGTGTACTGACCCCAGGAGATACCCTGGAACTTTCTTGAAAATCCTTCCGCATTACCCCTCAGGGTTGCTGAGGTATGTAGGGTTTTTTGTCCCTACATTGAATGCCCTGAGACTGCTATGTTGTACTTGTTTTTGCTCTTCCCCTTCTCCTGTGTCACAATCTTTCTTCTGTATTGTTTCTTTTCTTGTTACTTCTATCACTTCTGATTTCTTCCCTTGCCTCTGCTGATTTCTCTTCTATTTCATATTCTACTCTCTGGACAAAGACCATAGTTTACTAATTTCTCTCCCTGCCTCAGTAGTCCCTCAAATTTATCCTTACTGCAATCACAGAAATCTTTGTAAACAAATCTGATCTTATTACTACTCTTCTGGTTACTTGTAGTGAGTGGGGTTTCTTCCCACTCGCAGCAGTTGCCTACAGGTCAAATTCAGGCTACTTAGCATAGTAGAAAAATGTATTCCTTGACTTCTACCTTCTTCTCACCTTATCACTTGTGTCCTCACCTGTTGTCTAAGCTCTAGCCTTGCTGAACTTTAATACACCATCCTACCTTACCGTTGTACAAGCCAACCTCTCCACTGAGAATGCTTTTAAACTACTCCCACCACAATGACAGACTTTCTCATTCTGCTGATCCAGCTCACCTAGACAGATTTAATTTCACTATACCTTTTCCCACCCCTGCAGCATTTATTGCATGCAGTTGTAATTATTTGCTTACATGCCTGTCTTCTGTTAAAAAAAAAATGAGCTCTGTGAAGAAAGGGACAGGGTCTTACTAATTTTGTATTTCCAGTGCCAAGCAGAGTATCTACCTGACACATATTTTAAATATTTGATAATTGCTGGTTAAATATCGTATTTTTATGCAAATAATGCATGCCTTCTACATTTCAACAAATTGCCATAGCACGCTTATGAAAATACCTCGAGGGGGGAGGATGGCATGGACAAACCTAGAAGACTTGCGTTATTTGTGTAAAAATACGGTGTTTTTATATTTTTCTTCTTTCTTACCTTTCTGTCTTTTCAGTCTTTCATAGCATTGGCAGCATTGTGACTTAACTTTTAATGCCATTACCAGCAATCAGTCATACTTTTCTGCTGGTTAATGAACCAGCCACATCTGTCATGTCTTTTGTTATCTTTTGTTCTTCACTGTGTTCATTCTTGCTTATGCTTGGAACTGTCACTTTCTGTATGTAGTTGATAAGTGCAAGTATGAGCCCAAGACACGTTTAGTCTTTTTCTTTTCTTTTGTTTTAATTTCCTTAGTGCTACACTAAGACAAAAAAAAAAAAAAGCTTTTATTCCTGTCCATTTCTCCTACTAGAAGTTGGTAAGGTATTAAATAGAACACCTAAGTTCTGTTAAAGTTCTTAGGGACCGTAGTTGATGGGAAATATCTTTTCTTCATTCTTCCCTACCTCTGAATCCATATTTGATAGCCTAGGTAAGCACTGGGAGGCAAGACTTCAGGCTCACAGAAGCAGGTTTTCAGTGATTTTTGTAGCTAAGGTGGAGTCCACCAGATGCTTCTTTGTAGGTCATTGGTAACTCTGCCTTTTAAAATTAAATATATCATTCCTAAACCAAGTAAATGAGCCTTGTGTTGTTGAAATATGAAAAGATAAGTCTCTCTGGTAATATATATAGTTGTCTGTTTTTAGGTACGTTCTTCAGATGTGTCATGGTCTGATACTCGGAGGACTCTCCGAAAGGATCACCGCTGGGAATCTGGGTCCTTATTGGAAAGAGAAGAGAAAGAGAAGCTTTTTAATGAGCACATTGAAGCACTCACCAAAAAGAAGAGGGAGCACTTTAGGCAACTTCTGGATGAAACTTCTGCGGTAAGAAAGAGTCTCCTTTTTTGTCCTATTTTAATCTAAATCAGTCTTCATTAATAATTCTGAAAAGTAAAACATTAATATAATTTTAGTATCATAGTCTTTAGATTCATTACTGGAATTCATGGGTTTTATGTCACTTTCTTCTCTGATTTGTTTTAAGTAAAATGTTGACACCATTCTTATCTATTTAGAAATTGCTTCTTTTTGCCATTTTCAAATTCATATCTGCTCCTGTGGTAATCCAGAATGTTCTTTTTTGTGTGTATGATCAACGACCCCTCCTGATGATAGATTTAGATTCCTTCTTTTGCTGTATTGTCAATTTGGTACTATGGCCACCTTGTTTGGCAGTTTGTACACTTTGTTATCCAGGTTTTGTGCCTGTTTATCTGCTTTCTTTTTGGTGATGGTTTCTTCAGAAGTTATGATGTTTGCCCATGTAAATACAGGGTTTGCAGGTGATTGTCTTAGGCCACCTTGAAAGTATGGCCATGAAAATAACTCTTGTGGCAAGCCAACAAAAAGAAATTGCGTTAAAGCTGCTTCCCTGTCCCTAACTAGTCCAGTTACGGTTGGGCATTACAAGAGATCGCAGGTCAGTGTGTAATATTATGTACCATATGTGCTGCAGTTTGACCCCCTAAATAAAAGTGAGTTGTATTTATGTCTTTTATTCCCTTGTCTTTTCAAAGATTACCTTAACATCCACTTGGAAAGAAGTGAAAAAAATCATTAAGGAAGATCCTCGGTGTATTAAATTCTCCTCCAGTGACAGGGTAAGAGGATTCATGTCTGAGATTTACTCTCAAATCATAAATATTAATTGGGTGCTTAATCAACAACCACTAGTATCTTCACCAAAATGAAGTTGATGTTAAAAAATTAAAAATTTTAATCCTTAAGGTTAAGCTTATGTTTTTGGATCCTGGAGATTTAATGAAACCATAGCTCCCAAGGTGGCACAAACAGTTAAGCACTTGACTGCTAGCCGAAAGGTGCCGCAGAAGACAGGCCTGGTGAACTGCTTCTGAAAGGTCACAGCCTTGAACATCCTATGGAGCAATTCTACTCTGCACACATGGGGTCACCATGAGTTGGAATTGACCTGATGACAACTAACAACATAGCTTTTCTTTATTGTGTAGTCAGGATCCACTAGACAGACATACTTAGTCTAACAGTTGGTACCAGGCTATCAGAGGGCCTGACTCTAAAGCCACACTAGCAGAACACCACAAGATACCTAGTTATATGTTCCAGAGATTGTGGCATTGGAAACAGATTCACCCTCAGGGTCTGAAGTAGCAAATGATGTCATCAAGGAAAGTGTTTACTGCATTCCTTTTCATCCATTGACCTTTTTATTTGTTCTCCCTTCCCATTATTCTTTTTTCCTGGTTAATGTCTCTAGGTCTGGAGTCCAAAACCCATAGATTTTATATTCCTGTCCCTCCTATGCTAGTAAGTTAGGTTTTAGACATATGGGCCATGAAAGATGCATGGCTGGGAAAGAATGGTAATGTGAGAGCTGAGACCCAGGTCTCAGTTTCTAACTTTTCTGACTGTTAATAATAAGATCTGTTTTAGCCTAGATAGTTTATAGCTCTCAGTGCCATTCCTTTACTAGAAAGCTAAATGCTCTGTATAACTTAAAATTTAAGTTTGGAGTGTTAAACAGTTGGTGTATCTATAAGTTACACTACATTAATGTCTTTGTAAGGAGCCCTAGTGGCTCAACAGTTAAGCACTTGGCTGCTAACCAAAAGGTTGGTGGTTTAAACCCACCCAGCAGCTCCACAGGAAAAGACCTGGTGATCTGCTTCCGAAAAGATTACAGCCTAGAAAACCGTATGGGACAGTTCTACTCTGTCACGTGGGGTCGCTGTGAGTCGAAAACTGATTCTGTGGCGCCTGACAACAGCAACAACAGTGTCTTAAGGAGATGAACACTTAACCCTTAATTTTCTTATTTTTAGGAGTGTTTACCTCTTGAGGTTGTTATGAAGATTAATGGAGATGATCCTCATAAGACACTCAGCACAGGGTAGCATATAGCAACCCCTCAAGTTTTAGCCACTAGTAATACATTATATGGAGCCCTGGTGGCAGTGGTTAAGTGCTTTGCTCCTAACCAAAAGATTGGCAGTTCAAACCTGCCAGCCGCTCTGTGGGAGAAAGATGTGGCAGTCTGCTTCCATAAAGATTACAGCCTTGGAAACCCTGTGGGGCAGTTCTCCTCTGTCCTATAGGATCACTATGAGTCGGAATCGACTCGACGGCATGCAACAACACAATACCTTGTATGGTTCCTCATTGCTTTCTTTTTGCCTTAAAAATGTGCATTGTGGCTTTTTCTTTTGAATTTTTTATTTTATAATATGACTTATAAACTGGTGGTTTAATAGATAATTGATGTTAATTTTGGAATTGATGGATTTTTTTTCCCTAATCTTACTGTCTTTTTGCAGAAAAAACAAAGGGAGTTTGAAGAGTACATCAGAGACAAATACATCACCGCCAAAGCTGACTTCAGGACACTTTTGAAAGAGACCAAATTCATAACATATAGGTGTGTGCAATGAAATGTTTCATATTGGCAGTCATTATCTTTACTAGTCCTTATTCTAATGGCCAAAGCCTACTTTGCATTCACACACATGTTGACATTATTAATTTTTAGGCATAAGAGAAGCCAAGTACATCCCATATCTATCTTCCCTTTTTTTTTTTTTTTTTTTTTTTTCCAAAGAAAGGGCCCAGATGTCAATTCTCATTTTGTGTTACCCACCCATCCAGTTTTTTAAACATACCTTTGTTTTTACTTCACTGCTTTTTTAGGAGTATCCTCAACTATGTAAGAATTATATTTCATGAAGAGACTTTTTAAAATTCTTTTACCTTTGCCTCCTCTGATGGCTGTTCAGTGTGGTTGAACCATTTTAAAGCTTGAAATAACCTGTTTAATCTCAGCAAAAACATTTTTCTCAGAGGAAATCAGTGTGCTGGATACTTTTAAATAAATTTTAATTATAAAATGAGTCTTAAGGTTTCTCTGTAGCATACCCAGTAGTTTTCTACCCCAGCAATTTATCATCAGGAAAACAGTTTTACATTGTTTACCAATCAGTATGCAGGAAACCATTTTTGTTTCATGCCACCACTTCTCTTCCTTTAAAAGAAAAATTTGAAACATCTTACTGAAGTATATGTGCACGGGAGGATAGATAGTGCTGAGGGTGTGGTCTTTAGGTATTTTGTCATTTGGATTTTTTGGTCAGGATCCTTAATGTTTTGCATCAGCTTGGGTTTTTCAATTAGATGTGAAGTAAGACTTCTTTCTACATTTTTATAGTTAATTTAGTGAAAGATGTGAAAGTGAAAGCTTGTGAAAGATGCTGGGATTGGCAGCCCTGCAGACTGAAGTCCTCTGTTCATCCACAGAACAGGTACAGCACGGGCAAGATTTACCCACCCACCCTCAGCCCTGATCTGGAGGGACCACCAGTAGGGGTGGGAGGGTAATTCAGCTTCTGAGGCCCTTTCACTCCTTGGAGTCTTTGCTGAGGCGACTTACAAAGGTGACCACTGCAGTGAAATTTTTCTTTTAAAAAAAAAAAAAAATGGAGACACAATTAGGAACTAGATGGACATTTCCAGCTCATTTCTGAAAGACCTGTGAACAGCAGTCAGTAATCTTGGACTTCTTTCTCTTATTTCAGATCTAAAAAGCTAATCCAAGAATCTGATCAGCACCTGAAGGATGTAGAAAAAATTTTGCAGAACGACAAACGTTATCTAGTGCTGGACTGTGTGCCAGAGGAGAGGCGTAAACTGATTGTGGCATATGTTGATGACCTGGATCGCCGGGGTCCACCCCCACCTCCCACGGCCTCAGAGCCCACAAGACGATCAACAAAATAATTCTGAATACTCTTCCACGGGGGTATCTGTTAATTCAAAACGCTTGCATGAGCCAATTTTCAGATTTTTACATATCTGTACCTTAGTCAACCTATTGCAAAACCATCTGACGAACAGAAGGAGAAGCATTTGTGAACTGTGTCTGAACAGAGAACACTTTGGAAATATTTATGCTTTTCTTTGTGTGGCATGACTGACATACATACTCAAATATAGGCTGTCTCTAGTAAATCTAAACTCTTGAAGCTAAAAATCATCCTTTTATGAGGTGTGGAAGTCAGTGACTTGGTGACGTTCTTCCTAGCAGTGTTAAACATGCAAGATGTAAAAGCATTTGTGGTTTGAACTTGAAAGATACAAATACCACAGACTCCCAAGAAAACCTTAGTTGGGTATTTTTTTTTTTTTTTTTCCTCCTTTTCTGTTTTTTAAAAGCGGGTAAAAGGGAAAACACTGAAAACTGAATTCTTATCTTCCAGAGGCTAAGATGATTACAATGAATATGCTTTTACCTTTGTCTCTAAAGAACAGTTGAATTTTGTTTGTTCACTTATGTGCTTTGATTACTCCCTCTGAATTACAGGCCAAATCTTGTTGTTTAGCTTAAGAGAAGATTTGTTTAGTAATATCTCAGGCATCAAACCACGGTCATTAACTAACAGGTTGGCCAGAATAGGATTGCTGGTTAAAAACATTTTATTCACCATTAAGTGATCTTTATCAATACTCTCGATTAGACAATAAATTACCTTTCTGGGTGTTCCCTGTAAACTACTATACTCCTGTTTGAATGTTATACTTTTGTTCCTAAAGTTTAAATTTAAGATGTTTGAATGTTCAGTTTATGTATTTGAACTACAATAAACCAACTCTTTTTATATATGTGGATTGTATATGATTATTGTTAAATAATTTATAAAAACTATTTTAAACCTTTTCCTAAAAGAAGTAGCAAATGCAGTTTGCACAGAGGAAGATGACTTTAAATCTGGAATATTTGCACAGTTTTTAAAGGCTTGAATATAATAATAAATTATTTGCAGTGTAAAAGGCAAGGAATTTGTAAAGAACCATTTGGTGTTCAGTGTCTTAGCAATATGTTATTGCTTCACACCAAGAAGATGCTGATTTTTTTGTTTTCTTGGTTTTGTCGTTTATATTGATGATTTGTGCCTTTTTGCATCCTTCCCATGTGTCATATACATTACACCATGAAACTTACCTTTGAAGTTGTTCTTTCTAGCTTTACCTCCCCAGTTAAAAAAGATGCTTCTATTTCATCCCTTCATAGATACCTACGTTTAGAGTGCCACATAAATAAAATGTTTAAGAAAATACATGTTAATAGGATATTTTATTTTCCCTGTTATGTCGCAGCTGCTATGATTGCAACAAACCATTAAAAAGAGGAAATATTAACAAATCTGTATTTGTTACATATACACATGCAGGCACAGACACATACACATCTGTGTTACTTAGTAATTATAAAGTGTTACAGAACTTATGTGAACTCTATGTAGAGACCTGGAATTGATTATCAGACTAAGTTCTTAACATGTAAAATTGATAATTAATGGTCTATATGGATATATACATATTTTTTTTTTTCTAAGTTCCTTTTTACAAATTCATTGATTTTTAAATTGTATCAAGAGTGAAACTAGAGTGTTTGCTGAAAGGAATACAGCTATTATGGACATGACTGTCCTACAAAGGTGAAATTTCTAGAATGCCTATTTTATTACTCTGGATTCCACATAGTATTGTTTACCAATACGGTTTATCATTGTAGAGAAGTGAAGAAAATGGCTTTAGTGATAACTGTTTTAATTTCCTACTTTTTTCTTGGGGTACTTGGGTTTGATTATTCATCCATGGTACAAATCAACATTTCTGTGCAGATTTTTCTAAGGGATCAAGTCAGAACTTTGGAAGATTTAATGTAATTCTACTGCATTCCAGTGTCTGCATCTTGATTTGGTACTTACTGCCAAATTCTTTGAGAATACGTGATTCAACTTAACTCTGAGACTTGGGCCAGTAGTAAGACCTCCCCATTGTGCCAGATAATGATTTTGAACTGATAATTCAAGACAAAGACAGTGTTAAGCTTCCAAAAACCATCTGAAGTAACACAGTTGTTTTTATTTGTTTACAAGTTAGTGTTAAACACCGGCAGAGTACATTCTACATTTAGTATATGTAATGAACATAAAAACCTTTAATCAAAGTTTATCACAGACAACTTTAAAGATAATCCTCATGCATAAGTATCTCATCACAAGACAATACTTTGGATACTTAGGTTAAATTGTACTTTATTTCATCTTGTGAGCCTCAGAATTTGTATTGAACCAAGTAAAAATAAAACAGTCCTACCTTCTATGTTAAACTATGACTTTGTAAAACAAACCAAAAAAGCCCACAGACTGAACATTAAAAAAAAAAAAGTCCACAGCATGTTCTTTATATTTCAAACTCCATTGCTTGCCCTAAAGGGAACCTCTGGGGGAACCTCTCAGTGAAAATACCCTCGAGGTCCATTATAATCAGGGATTATGGATAAATATCCTTATTACATTTTTTAGTACAGGAAGAAATGTATCAATCATTATGTTTTATTGGGTATGCTTTACCTTGCTAGAAAATGGTTATTGGCTCTTATTCAAATTTTACCATATGTTTGGGAACACAATTTTATTGCTTTTCTTTCTGCATTGCCTTTGTACTTTTTATTTTCTATTATTTTTAGCCAAATTATCTGTCTTGTGGCCATTTGAATATCCTCTTTTCCATACTAATTTTTTCTCTTACTAATCATGATCATTTTTATAACAGCCTGAGGTGTTCTAAATTTGAGCAGAGTTCAGGTTCAGTGTTGGGGTAAGTTTAATACCATCTAACGAGAAAGGTCACCATTTCCATCCCTCCTTTATATCTGAAGGTTTCCTTCAGTCAATGAAACCTATATCATTAACCATAACTTAATAGTTTATCTTGAGAGAAAGGAGATAACTGGGAAGAACAGATTGCAGCTTGTAGAAGAATAAAAACTGTACTGCATTTTGGAAGGATAGACAATTGGGAAGAAAAAGAGGTTTTTACGTTTTTTCTCCATATCAGAATATAGAATGTCAGGAAATCCTCAAACTGGAGACTCAGTGAGGTGGATTAAAAAGATCAATAAAGCAGGCTTTAGCATAAGGAAGAGTTTGAATTTATTTAAACTTAACCAAAAGCAGCTATGGTTTGAAATTAGCCCAGAATTGGAATAAGGTAATGCTGTTCATTTTGCAGCCTTCTATTATATCTTACGTGAATTTTCATTAAGTAAGTTAACAGCACATGAAGATAACTCATTAAAATTTATTCACCAATGTTTTGGAAAAATCTCAAGTGGAAGTAGCTTTTGAGCTTTGGTTATTTGAAATAAAATTAGGTGAAGTTAGGGCTAGTTGGTTCAGGAAGAAACTGATGGAAAAGGGGTTCAGCCCCCAGATAAGTTGGTTGATTACCCAGCCAGTACAAGGTTGGTCCTAAGGAAGCCCTATAAAAAAGCCATTGTGAACAAGTGACAAATAGCTTTCTAATCACTTATGACAAGTATCTTCACATATACAGCACTTAAAATGAATTCTTCTGACAGCCAGATTATAATTCTAAAAGTTATTCCTAACACAGTGTTCTACTTACCAAATTAGACATTTTGAAAATGTGAAGCATTTATGTAGTTTCTAACAATTTTGTCTTTTATATGGTAAATTCAGCAATATTGATAAGCAATAGTACAAGTAAAGACAATCACAATTTGTTTTGCTTTGAGACAATCTATTTATCACAACGCCCTGTCTCTTGGTCTTCATGTTCCCAGGGGATAGGGTCATTGTCTTGTGCAGAAGGGATGGTGTCCCTTCCATGCCAAAACTGCTCTACATCAGGGAGAATAGGAATCTCTGCCTTCTCAGTTTTCTTCTTGCTGGAGGAGAGAGAGCCAGGTTTCTCTTTCCCTGGTACGGAGGTTGGGGACTCTGGAGATGGAACATTGTCAGGAAGGACCTCTGAGTTACCAGCTGGTGTTTCCTGAGACTCTGAGGCAGTTGGAGGTTTTTTGGTTATCATCCATTGCCATAAGCTTTTGAAGCCTTCCTTGAACTCCTCTGACATCACTAGAAAAATGAGGGGATTTGCTGAAGAGATGGAAAACATTAGGACTTGAGACAGGGCTATGAACCCTTGTGGTGGGGTCGGACCTCCAGCCTTCAGATGCCATACCCACAGCCAAGCTATCCATTCAGGGAGCCATAGAACAGCAGAGGTGATGGCAATGCTCAGCAACATCACCGTGAGTTGTTTTGAGCGGATCTGACTTGTAAGATTTTGAGTTTTAGTTCCTCGTTTCTGACATTGGCCATAAGCCCTCCAGAAATAAAAGCTGGCAAAGAGTAACGGAAGGCAAAATACTAGGAGAGGGTAGAGCTTACCAAACATAGACATGAACTCTTCGGCCGCGGCTGGTATATCCATGATGCACATGTCCACACCTGCATGATGTCTGGTGGTGCTAAAAAACCATTCGGGCAGGGGTAACAGGCTAGCCACAGCCCAGATAGCTACCAGTACAGACCAGATGGTACAGTTGTGCATACTTACTTGCTTGGCTGGGTCACTTGCATACATGAAGCATACTTTGGCCACTGCAATGATTGTCAGGCTCTTGGCTGCCATGCACGTGTGGATGAACCAGTCAGAGGACTTGCAGACAAACCAGCCCAGATCCCAAATGCCTTTGGAGTATGCTAGAGCTCGGACCGGTGCAGAAAACAGCAGAAGGAAGAGATCAGCCAGGCTGAGGTTCAGAATCAGAGAGTGGATCATGGTTGACCTTCCTTTCCAAGTGCTATGAAGGAGGATGCCAATCACACACAGGTTCCCCATGAAGCCCACCAGGCAGACAGCCACCAAGAGAGCCGGGACTATGGTCCTCCAGTCCTTGGAGTCAGAGGGCAGGTAACCTCCTGCAAAGTGGAGGTGAGCAAAAGACACGTTCATGGTGCTGGAGTTGGAGTCTGCAAAGGGAGCTGCCGGCGTCACCTTTTCCATCCACCTCCTCTTTACAGAAGTTAGCCTCTTATTTAGGCTTGTCTTTCTGCCTTAGCTCTTTTGCATAGGAAATAAGTACTCTGTCGTCAGTCAGTGTCAAATGACATGACTGGACCCTCCCCTTAGTTGCTGAGAGCAGAATGTGGAAGAAGGTTGAATGCTAAGCTCTCAGCTGCAGGCAGTATACCTGTGACTGCACTGAATGACAGCAGGAGTCTATGGTTGCTGCTCATTAGCAAGTCTAATACCAAACTGTCAGCCTGTGGAGTAATACAAATAATACACTCATAAATGATAAATGAAGAGAACATACATGTAAGTGGGATATGTTCTTGGAGGGGCACTAGAGCCAGTAAAGGGAATTACTTTCAATTGCTTGTTTCTGAAATCTTCACTGCAGTAAACACTACATCTGAGCCACCAAGTTCTTAAAACTTGTCTGTGCATCAGAATCACCTGAATGGCTAGATCCAATAGATGGGGGGTGGCGCCCAAGAATTTGCATTTCTAACAAGTTCCCAGGGGGTGTTGATGCTGCATGTTGGGAGACTGCATTTTGAGAAACACTTAAATGTCTGCTGTTTTTTTCCCCTCTGCGGAGATGAGCTGTCTCTTCTTGCACCCAAACCTCACCACCACCCCACCCCATCAACAGCTGGCTGAGACCAAACACAACTGAATAATGAAAACGAGAACTGGAAAGAAGTCTTTGTAGAAAAAATCTAATTATGGGTGACTATGTTTAGCCTGTTTCAAGCTTTTTAGAAGTGATTTTAGAGCTCTGAATTAGAACAGGCCTACATGCTAATAAGACTTTCCAGCATGTGATTGTGATGAAGGCAACCAAATGATGAATTAAGCTTCTTTTCAGGGAGAATAATTCCTAAAGGATTTACTAAGACAAGAGAAATCAAAGAAAAATCAACAATTTCTATGTGGAAAACATGTAAGAGATTTTTCTCAAAAAAATACATTCTAAAGTTGGGAAAAGAAAAAAAAACTTAGGATAAAATGATTGTAGGATGAGTCTTGAAGTTTTTAATGGGCAGTGGGTACTCTGAAGGAGATCAGAGGAGCTAAAATTGTTCAGGGAAAGGGCTTGTGGGTTAAAATGAAGACATGTCCTCCCCTGAGTGTGGCTGAGCCGGAAATGCTTGGTGTGATACGGTGGAATCAGGCACCTGGATTCTGGTACTAACTGCTTTCACCAGTTTTTCTCTGAAAAGTTTAAAACTTTAAAAAATTCCTCAAAGCCTCAGAACTCAATAAATGAATACTGACCAATATAGTTATCGGTAAAGCTGTCGGTGATGTCACTTTGTTTACTTTTTCCTTTTCCTTTCTTGCTGGGAAGTAGCTGTGCCTATGAAACAAAATTGGGGCAATGCCACGTAACTAGAAAGGCTACACTCATAACCGTAAGTGTCCCAGCGATGTACCAAAAACACAAAACATAAACCCCTTGCCATGGAGTCGGTTACGACTCACACAACCCTATAGGCCCGAGAACTGCCCCCACAGGGTTTCTAAGGCCATAAATCCTTACAGAACCAGATTAACCACATATTTCTCCTGTGAAGCGGCTAGTGGGTTCAAACCTCCAAACTTTAGGTTATCAGCCAAGCACTTAACCACTGACACCAGGGCTCCGTTCAACAAGCATAGTGTCTATTAGTAGTGCAGAGGTGAAATATCCTTCAACCTAAACAGTACCACTTTGGGGGAGTGCTGAAGAGGCCTACACTATCTTACAGGGAGGAAAGTGGCGGGGAGGGACGGAAAGGGTGCAGAAACACATCTTGAGTGCCACTTAGAGCAAATGATCATTTTGCAAATTATAGACGACAAGAGAGTTCTACCTGATGTCTGTGGAAGAGATCAGTTCAGGACCAGAAAACCAACACTGAATCTTCAGAACAACCTCTGAAGAGTGGTCCTATTACTCGCCCCTTCTTACAGATGATGAAATTAAGGCATAATAATAACTTGCTCAAGCTCACACAGCTAGTAGGTGACAGAGTTGGGATAGGAACCCCTGTGCATCTGACTCCAGATTCGGGGTTCCAGCTTTGGTGATCATAAGCCGTGTGCTATTCTGTCTCACTAAAGGAAGAGAAATCCATGCAGTTGTGCGGTACTATTCTTTAAGCAACCAGATTGTGAAATTGGTATAGTTCAGTTCAGCAAACATTTGTTGAGTCCTTTGGCACTGGGACTATAGAGGCGAATAAAAGGAGCTCACAGGCAGAGGTGGATAGCTCACGTACCTTTCTCTCATTGAATATATACTGAGCCAGTTCCTGTGCAAAGCACAGTGCTAGACCCAGGGACCCCAGTGTGATAGAAGAGTCCCTTTGCTTGAGGAGTTACAGTCTAATGGGAGAGATGAACACACAAACAAGAAATTTCACTGACAGGGCTACAAGAGCATGACTGTCATGGGTGCCTGGAGGAGCACCTGACCCAGACCAGAAGTTGGATGGGGGGAAAGGTCAGGAAAAGGCTTCCTGACCTACCTCAGCTGAGACTCAGCCAGACACCTACCTCCTCATCTCTGCAAGAGCCTGTTTGTTTGTTTGTTTGTTTTAAAGTAATTTATTGTTTCTTGTTGAGTCTGCAACAGCCTTTATTTTTTATGACATTGGTTAACAACCCCACAACATGTCAACCCTCTCCCTTCTCGACCTTTTTTTTTTTGGTGCAAATATACATAGCCAAAGATACACCATTTCAAAAATTTCTAGATGCACAGTTCAGTGACATTGACTACACTCTTCCGATTGTGCTGCTATTCTCACTTAAGATGAAGGCTTACAGAACAAAATAGTTTCTCATTTAACAGTTAGTCCACATGTGCAACAGCCTTTTTGGAGCTCATCATTGCTTTGTCTTTAGTATCTTAGTTTCCTAGCGCTGCCATAATAAAAGACATCACAAATGGGTGGCTTTAAAGAACAGGAATTAATTGTCTCACAGTTCAGGAGGCTAGAAGTCCAAATTCAGGGTGTAACTCTAGGGCAAGGTCCTTCTGTGTCTCTTTCATCTTCTAGTAGCTATTGACAGTCCTTGGTGCTCGTGGGCTGGCAGATTCGTCTGCCTCTGTCTTCACATGGCATCTCCCCCCGTTTGTGTGTCTTTGTGTCTATTCTGCTTCCTTTATAAGACACCACTCAGAAGGTTTAGGATCCACGGACTCTGGTACAGTCTTATTAATGTAACAAAAGAAAACACCTATTTCAAACAGGGTCATATTTACATGTAAAGGGGTTATGCCTTCCGCATTTCTTCTGGGGTTGGGGGCGCTATTCAATCCATAAGGAGCCCTAGTGGCACAATGATTAAGTGCTAGGCTGCTAACCGAAAATCGGCAGTTTGAACACATCAGCTGCTCAGGGAGAGAAAAGACCCGGCAAACTGCTTCCATAAATATTACAGCCTAGGAAACCCTGTGGGTAGTTCTACTCCGTTACACTGGGTCACTATGCGTTGGAGTCAACTTGACGGTACCCAATAACGTTCAGTCCATAACAGTGTCCCTGTTAAACACACCAGAAAAGAGTTGCTTCTTACCAGAGACGTTAGCTTTGTTTACTCCAGGTCTCTGAGAGGTTAATTGCAGGTTAAGCTTCAGGTGGAACAGAGTGGACCAGGCTAGGCCTCACTGACCAGCTGCCGTTTGTTAGCAAGCAGGAGAGTTTGTTGGCATGCTCAGCTCCTCTCTGCATGGGCACGGCACAGGTTAGACATCAGTTTTGCACTTTTCTTGACTATTCCCTTCTCTCTCACCCTCGGTGTTAATAGAAGGGCCTTCAGATATGGCTAGTGTTTCTTTGCTGACTGCCTTGCTTCACTGTGGCTTCCTTTGGCCAGTCTCTTGGCTGTGTTCCTTTTTGTACTATGGCCATCTGGTTTTTGTGGAGGATCTTTTGCTGTGGCCCTTACTGAGTGTTTAGTGTCTGGAGCGCTGTTCTGGGCTGCAGGTGCAAGATGACTGATAAGTCATCTCTGAGGTAAGTGTTTGACTGGACCTGCTCATAAAGAGAGACCCTGGCTGTTTGCTATTTGTTGTTAGTATGGGTTGAATCGTGTCCTCTCCCCCACCACTCCAATATGTTGAAGCCCTAACATCTGGTATGTGTGAATGTGGCTCTATGTGGAAATACGGTGTTTAAAAAATTAAAAAAAAAAATTGTATGTTTTCCGTGGCCACTGCAATCACAGTATCCCAGGAGTTATCTACCCTATCGACATTGTCACATGTTGCTTCTTACCAGGCCCCTTTCTCCTCTTTCTTTCTTCAGCTTCCTCCTTTGTCACCTATTTGAGGGAGCATGTCTATATCAGTGGTTCTTTCTTTTTGTTTTTTTTTTTCCCACAGAGTAGAACATGCTCCATGTGGTTTTCTTGGCTGTAATATTTTTTTTTCTTTTTTCAGTTTCAATTTCTTTCTTTCGTTCTTTTCTAGTTTTTATTTTGTTGCTGTTTTTGAGGATATACACAACAAAACATCCACCAATAAGACAGAGGTCCCCTGGCTGAGAAAAATTCCACTGCCTCAAGCAGCTTGCTTGGCACGCCAGGTAGCTTTACATTAAAATTCTGCTTCCTCTCTCCTTAACTGCTGCCCAAAACTAGAGGAAATTGGCAGAAACCGGTTTAGGCACCATGTTGACGTTAAGGATAACCTTTTAGACTTCTCACATAGTAACCTCTCTGTCTCTGGCTGGAGTTTAACCACTGTTTGCTGAGCACATGATGCATGAAGTTATATGTAAACCCTGTTTTGTCTATGTACTATGATTAAGAATGTTGCTGATGTAACTTGTATGAACTTCCTACTTGTAAACCCCTTAAAAGTAACCTTTCCCCTCACCCTCGCTGAGCAGTCCCAATAGTCCTGACTGTTCCTTTCCTTGCACAACGAAATAAAGGTGCCTTTCTACTCTTCCACCTCAGTCTGTCGTTTACTGGTTGAGACAAGTCACACCCAGCAGAACCTG